AGCTGGGACTACAGGTGCCCACCACAATGCCAGGCTATTTTGTTGTTATTGTTTCCAAGTCTTGAAAGTATGATGTTGGTATTTTAATAGTGATGGCATTGAATTGGTAGATTGCTTTGGGAAGTATAGACATTTTAACAATGCTGATTCTTCCCATCCATGAGCATGCTATGTTCTTCTATTTGTTAATATCGTCTGCTGTTTCCTTTCTTAGGGTTGCATAATTTTCTTTATAGAGGTCCTTTATAGAGGTATTTCATTTTCTTTGAAGCTATGGTGAAGGGAGTTGTGTCCTGACTGACTTGTGGACATTGATTTTATATCCTGAGATATTACTGTATTTTTTGATGACTTCCAGGAGTCTTGTGGTTGAGTCTTTGGGGTTCTCTAACTGTAAGATCATATCATCAGCAAAGAGGAAGAGTTTGACCTCCTCTGCGCCCATTTGGATGGCCTTTATTTTCTTGCCTTGCCTAATTGTATTGGCTAGAACTTCCAGCACTATGTTGAATAGTAATGTTGACAGAGGAAAACCTTGTCTGGTTCCAGTTCTAAAAGGAAAAGCTTTCAGTTTTACTCCATTCAGTAAAACATTAGCTGTGGGTTTGTCATAGATAGCTTCAATCCGTTTTAGAAATGTGCCACATATGCCTATACTCTTCAGTGTTCTAATTAGAAAAGAATGCTAAATTTTATGGAATGCTTTTTCTGCATCTATTGAGAAGATCATATGGTCTTTGTTTTTGCTTCTGTTAATATGGTGAATAACGTTTATGGTCTTGTGTGTGTTAAAACAGCCTTGCATTCCTGGGATAAAACCTACTTGATCTGATGTATGACTTTTTTGATGACAAGCTGTAATCTATTGGCTAGGATTTTGCTGAGAATTTTTGCATCCATATTTATTAGTGAAATTGGTCTGAAGTTCTCCTTTTAGTTGGGTCTTTTCCTGGTTTTGGTATCAGGGTAATGTTTGCTTCATAAAACGTGTTGGGAAAGATTCCTTCCTCTTCAATTTTTTGGAATAATTTCTGCAGTATAGAATAAGCTCTTCTTTGAAGGCTTGATAGAATTCTGGTGTGAAGTCATCTGGATCAGGGCATTTTTTTGTTGGAAGATTTTTTATTGTTTCTTTAATCTCAGTGCTTGAAATTGGTCTGTTTAGGAGCTCTATTTCTTCCTGTCTAAGTCTACAGAGAGAGTGTGATTCCAAATATTGATCCACTTCCTTCACATTGTCAAATTTCTGGGCACAGAGTTTCTGGTAATTCAGAGATAATTTATTGTATCTCTGTGGCATCAGTTGTTATTTCCCCTTTATCATTTCTGATTGAGGTTACTAGAGATTTTACTTTTCTACTTCTAGTTAGTCTGGCCAAAGGTTATCTATTTTATTTATTTTTTCAAAAAACCAAATCCTTGTTTCATTAATTTTCTGAATTTAATTTCATTGGATTCTTTTGTTTTCAATTTCATTGATCTCTGATTTAACTTTGGATATTTCTTTTCTGCTGGGTTTAGGCTTAAACTGTTCTTCTTTTTCCAATTCCATAAGATGACTTGTGAGTTTGTTGATGCACTCTCTTTCTATTTTTTGAATGTAGGCATCTAAAGTGATAAATTTCCCTCTCAGAACTGCTTTTGCAGTATACCACAGGTTTTGGTAGCTTGTGTCTTCATTTTTGTTGTGCTCAAGGAAGTTCATGATTTCCTCTTTTATTTCTTTCTGCACCCAACTGTCATTCAACAGAAGGTTGTTTAATTTCCATAAAATTTGTGTGGGGTTGAACGTTTTTGTTGGAGTTGAGTTCCACCTTTAGTGCCTTGTGGTCTGAGAAGGTACAAGGTACATTTACAATTCTTTTGATTCTGTTGAGGTTTGTTTTGTCTCCTAGGATATGATCAATTTTGGAGAATGTTCTATGGGGCAATGAGAAGAATGTATATTCTTTATCTTTGGGATGGAGTGTTCTATATGTGTCTATCAAGCACAGTTGTTCTAGGGTCTCATTTAAGTCCCTTCTATCTTTGTTTAATATCTGTCTAGAGGATCTGTCCAGCTCTGTAAGAGAAGTGTTAAAGTCCCCTGTTATTATGGTGTTACAGGATATCATATTGCTCAGACTGAGTAATGTCTGTTTCAAGGATCTGGGAGCATGTAAGTTGGATGCATATTTATAATTGAAGTGTCTTCTTCTTGTATTTTTCCCATGACCAATATAAAGTGACCATCTTTGTCTTTTTTGACTTCAGTTGCTTTAAATCCACATGTATATGAAAATAAGATTGCAACCCATCTTTTCTTCTGAATTCCATTTGCCTGAAAAATTGTCTTCCAACCCTTAACTCGGAGTTTTAATTTGTCTTTTGAAGCTAGGTGTGTTTCCTGCAAACAGCAAATGGATGGCTTGTGTTTTTTAATCCAATCAGCCAATGAATGTCTCTTCAGTGGGGAATTCAAGCCATTAACATTTATTGAGATAATTGATAAGTGTGGTAGTGTTCTATTCATCTTTTTTTGTGAGAATCCATTGCTTAGTTTTATCTTTTGCATCATTGTGGTAGTTAAGTTCTGTCCTTTAACTTCTGAGTTCTTACTTTGCTATTGATACATTGTGATGGTCAGTGTGTAGAATGGGTTGAAGTACTTCCTATAGAGCTGGTTTTGTTGTGGTGAATTTCCTCAATGTTTACATATCAATAAATGATTTGATTTCTCTGTCAATTTTAAAGCTTAACTTAGCAGGATATAGAATTCTGGGCTGGAAATTATTCTGTTTAAGTAGATTAAAGGTAGATGGCCATTGTCTTCTTGCTCAAAAAGTTTCATCAGAGAAGTCTGCAGTCACCCTGATGCATTTGCCTCTGTAGGTCAACTGGTGCTTACTCCTGGCAGCTTAAGGAATCTTTTCTTTTGTCTTGACTTTGGATAGGTTCATCACAATGTGTCTTGGAGAAACTCGGTTAGAGTTGAGGTGACTTGGGGTCTGATATCCCTCTGAAAGACGTGTGTCAGAATCTTTGGTAATATTTGGGAAATTTTCATTTATAATATTCTCTAGTATGGCTTCCATTCCCCTGGGGCATTCTTCTTCCCCTTCTGGGATACTTATAACTTGTATGTTTGAACACTTCATAAATTCCCATAATTCTGTCAGTGAACATTCTGCTTTCTCTCTCTTCTTTTCTGCCTCTAAAACTTTCTGAGTTATCTCAAGAGCTTTGTCCTCTACCTCTGAGATTCATTCTTCTGCATGGTCTAATCTGTTGTCGATACTTACTATTGCATCTCTAAGTTCCCTAATTGACT